TGGCCCATGCGGTAGTGGAAAAAGAAAAAATATAAATTGGGCTTCATAAAAACTAAAGTGTGTTGTGCTTCAAAGGACAGTATCAACAAAGTGAAAAGGCACACAGAATGGGAGAAAATATTTGCACAGCATGTATTGACATTTGTATTTAGAATATATAAGTAACTTTCTCAATAATAAAAAGATAAATAACCCAACTAAAAAAATGGGTGACAGTCCTGAATAGACATTTCTCCAAAAGTACATAGCCAATAAGCTCATGGAAAGATGCTCAATATCATTGGCCACTGGGGAAGTTGAAATAAAAGCTGCCATTAGATGCCACTGCACGCTCACCAATGCAGCTGTGGCTACACAGACGCAACAACAGGTGCTAGTGAGCTTGTGTGGGGACTGGAACACGCACATTGTCCGTGGGAATGTAAAACGGTGCAGCCGCTCTAGAAGAAAGTCTGGAAATCCCTCAAGAGATTAAGTGTACAGTTACCATGTGCCCGACAAATTCCACTCCTGGGTCTGGGCCCAAGTGAAACGGGGAAAAAAAGTCCGCAGACAAACTTGTGCACAAATGTTCATAGCAGCCATTATTCACAAGAGCCAAGAAGCGGAAATAACCCGAATGTCTGTCAGCTGATGGATGGTTAAATGAAGAGGAACGGGGTCCCTTGGAGAGGGGTGAAAATGTTCTAAACTGGGAGAGGAAAACTAACCCTATTAGAAAACGGTCTGGCAGTTTCTTTTCTTTTTTTTTAAAGATTTGTATTTACTTCTAGAGGGGAACATCAGTGTGTGAGAGACTCGTCAATCAGTTGCCTCTCGCACGTCCCCAACACCCCAACCGTCCCCAAGGCCCCAACCCGGGACCAGGCCCGCAACCCAGGCGCGTGTCCTGGCTGGGAACCAAACCAGCGACCGTTGCGTTCACAGGGCGGCGCCGGGTCCGGAGCGACACTAGGCAGAGCAACAACGTGGCAGTTTCTTAGAAAGTGAAAGGTATTCCTGCCCTGCGGCCCAGCCGCCCACCCGGAGAGAAATGAAAACACACATCCACGGTGAGATCCGAACGCAGACGCTCTCCGCAGCTTTGTGTAGGGCGGCCCCAGACCAGGGGACTAGAGATGTCCCCGAGCCCGGGGGCAGGTGAACGGAGAGACCCACTGCGTATCCAACGACGGGACGCACCACATTAAACAAACACCTTGATACGCACAGTGGTGTGGATGAATCTCAAAATAACCACGCTGAGTGGCAGCCGCCAGACAAGCAGGCCCGCCCCCCATCCGTTTGTATGACATTCCAAGCAACGCCACCTGCCGGCCGCCGCAGGAAGCGCGTGGGGTCCGCTGGGGGCAGGGAGGGAGCGTTTCCGCGGGCGCGGGAACCTTGGGGCGCTGGGCACGTTCACTCTCTGGAACCTGGTGATGGCTCCCTACGTGTACCCCTGCAGGGACGTGGCGAATTCATAGCTTAAATATGTGCAGTTTGTTGGGGGTGCGTCATACCTCATTAGAACGACTTAAAATGTTACAGTAAAAAGCCCGTCATCCGTGGAAGACGTTTAAGACCGCCCAGCATGTCACAGGCGCTCGTTGGAAGCTGGCTTTGTGTTTGAGAGCCCGCTGTCTCGAGGTCCAGGGCTCGAGGAGCCACGGGGCTCCAGGGAAGGGGTCCTGGCGCCCCAAGAAGTGGCCGGAGGGGCCCGGCTCTGTCGGCTTCCGGCGGGGTCCTGGTGCCCTCTGGCGGCCTCCCGGGGCACAGCAGGCCGCGGGCTGTTGGCGCTTCTTTCCGCGCCCGCCTCTGCGCCTGCTGCGCCGGGCGGGGGGCGGGGGACGCGGGTTGCGGCACGAGCGTCGGGGCCCCATGCACACCCTGCCAGGCGCCTGTCTCCGCGGACTCAGCACCTCCACCCCCGCGGGGCTGCTTTAGGGGCCCGCGGGCCTGCTGTGGAGCCCGGCCTGTCTCCCTCGCCCCACAGCAGGCGTCCCCAGCCGCCCAGGCGGTCGTGATTAGAGTGGGAATTAACCCCAGTGGCCCCTGGATAATTCCCAAAGGCTGTCTAGGTCATTCAGGGCCCCGCCCTCGTCCACGCTACGCCGGCCGCCTCCGAGCCCGCCTCCCACCGTCCCGTGACCCCGCAGTCGCCAGGGCGCTTGTCGCAGGGCTTCCGCTCGAACCCTCAAACCTCTGCTTGCCCGCCTTTGTCCAGACGGGCAGATCCGCGCGCGCCCAGAGCCCAGACGGGGCCCTGGGTGTCCAGGTTGGAATAAAAAGGGACAGGACCCCCACCGGCCGCCCAGGACAGCCAGTACCAGCTGGGCGGCAGGTGCGCTGAGAAGGGCCGAACTGAGCTTCCTGGCACAGCAGCGCCACCTGCAAGACTCCTTCAAGACCCTTCCGGAACCGGGGCGGCGCGGGGTGCCGCGAACGGCCTGTGTGATAACCGCCAAGGAAACTGTTGGCAACCTGGACTGCGACTGAACTTAAGTTTTAGCGATTCGAATTTCTGTTCACGCAAAGGCACCGTGAAGAGCGTGAAAAAGCGAGACGACAGGGAGAACACATTCAAACACTCGATAGGGTTCATATCCAGCATGTGGGGAAGTGCCCTCAAACCAATAAGAACAAGGCTCAGAAAGGCGGCAAAAGCCCTGAGAAGATGCAAATGGCCAGCAGCCCCCCTGCTGCCCGGGATGTGGCCATCCCGGGCCGCAGGATACGCAGATCCGCAGCGTCTCTGGAGCTGACGCAGGACGGCCACAGCCGGTGACCCGACCACTCTCCAAATCTGCAGGCATATGTTTGCCAAAAGAATGTTCCAGAAGGCTCACAGCATCATTCTTCGTTATAGCTGCAAGTGGAAAACACCCCAAGCCCCAGTACCAGGAGGCCCCGCAGGTGGGCGCACCCGGGGACGCGGACGGCACAGCTCCCGGAGCCGGTGTGGGCAAAGGAAGTGACCGTGGGGTGACAGGAAGTGCACGGAAGCGCTCTGCCCCGTTCCTGGCCCCGGGCGCTGGGCGCCCTTGCTCTGCGGCGGCGGCTCTGGAGGGCTCCCGGGCAACGTCTGGTTGCCAGAAACGCCAAACTGTGATTGGAAACTTGGGATTTTTAGGCCCCCACCCCCTTCTCATGAGAAGGGATGGCTGAAGCCAGAGTGGCGGACAGGCCACCCGGTGGCGGGAGGAAGCTCCACAGAGCCTGGCATCTGGGGGTCTGGGGACTTCTGGGAGGGGACAGGGCAGCTGCGGCCGGGGTGCTGAGGACGCGGGCCGTCCGCCCCGTCCATGCGCCTCACTGATTGCGTCTCTGCCATCCAGAGCTCATCTGTGTCCTTTCTCACATCCCTCTGTCACCGGTTGGCAAATGTAAAGCGCTTCCCTGAGTTCTGCGAGCTGCTCGAGCCCATGAACCCAATTCAAGGGGCAGCGACCGGGAAGCCAACAATTTTTGTGAAGCTGGACAGATGTCTTGGGACCTGGCATCAAAGGGGCGGCAGCCTTGTGGGTCTGAGCCCGCGACCTGGGATGTGGCGCTCTGTCCCGGGGGACAACATCAGGATCGACTGAAACGGGTGCCGCGGAATTGCTTGGGGTGCGAACCCCCACGTTGGGACCAGGGAGGAGTGTTTGGGGTGACAAGGGAAAGAGCCCTCCTAGGAGGCACAGGAGCGAGGGTGCGGAAGGGCTCGGGGGTCAGCGTCACCCCAGGCCAGGCTCGCCTCCACCCTCCCGTGTGGCGTCTGGTGGCGGCCGCGTGGAGCGCTCACCCGCGATCCCCCCTCCCCCCGCGCTTCCTGCGCACTTGTCACACGGAGCAGTTCGCCGAGGGAGGCTCAGCTGCCCGTGCCTGGCTCTTCCTTGCGATGCCGCCACCGTCACCCTCACAGCCGCGGCCCTGCTGTCCCTGTCCCCCGAGGCTTGTCCCTCAGACTCTCATGACCTCAGTCCCAGGCTCTCTATGTCCTCCTTATAACACGGGGCTGCCAGGAACCATCTTATTTCCCCGTGTGTCTAACCCACTACTCCTCCACTGTGTCCCCCGCCCGGAGGCCGGAGGGGTGGGTGTCCCAGTGACCTGCCCGGGGAAAGGCAAGGCAGCCCCCAGGTCAGGTCAGCACGGCCCGGGCGCCGCTAGGAGCAGGGCCTCCGGGGCCCAACTCGGCCACTTGCCGGCTATGTGGCCGGCACACGCCCCTCGCCCTCTCTGTGCGACGCGACGGTGTTAGAGGGTCCGTCTGGAACCCCCAGATGGACGGTTTGGAAAAGGGCTCAGGGGGTCCTGGAGGGGCTGCCGCTCTCCAGCCCAGGTCAGAGGCCCGTCACCCCGCCCGCCTCTTTGGTGGCGGGCTCACCCGGGGGTCGGCAGCCCCCTCGGGCCCCCCCCAGGGGCCAGGTGGGAGGTGCTGGTGGGGAGTGACTCACTTGCCTCCCCCACACCTCCCAACGCCCCCAGAGGCCCGGGGGCCGTGCCCGTTTGGGGCGCCCTCCACTGAGAGCCTTTCATGCCCCATGGGTCCCCCGAGCCCCAGCAGGGTGGACAGCGCTGCGGGGGAGGGGCCTCCTCGAGCGCCGACGGGGGAGGTGCAAGCCCTGCCCTCGGGGGGCGGCAGCCCACCTCCAAAGGGCCTCGAGGAACCTTCTGGAGTCCGTCATTTCCTAGCTTGTCATTCTAACTCCCTCCATTCCCCACAGGACTCAGGGTCCAGCCCCGAGACCCAGAGGGCCTGGGCTAGCCTTGGGGGGCTGCTGGCAGCAGGCAGCGGGGCGGGGGGTTCTGAGGTCTCCCTGCTGGGGGGCTCCTTTAAGAGGAAGCAGCAGCCTTCAGCCAGGGAGAGGGAGGCGGCAGGTGCTGATGGCTGGTCAGCATTCTCTGGCCGGCGTCCCACCTGACCACGAAGGTGTCCCTCACGTAGCTGGAGGCCCCTCAAATGCCATCTATTTGTGGCCTGGACCCTGAGAGCTGGCAGGAGACATGTGACCCCGTGCAGTATTTTTGGCCGTGGGGGTGGGGCCTGCATGGCGAGCCCAGCACCAAGCCGCTCAGACCGGCAGCTCGGACGCCCTGCTCTGCTGCCCGGCTGGCTGCCGGGTCCCAGGTACGACACCAGCAGCCCCTCATTCCAGTCCTAAGGGGTCCCACAGGTGGACAGACCCCATTGGGACCTTCCCAGGAGCTAGAGAGGAGGGCGAAGTTCAGTAGTCAGGAAGCCGCGGTGCCCTGGCGTCCGGGCGTCTCCCTCCCAGGACTGGGCTGACAAAGACCAGGGCAGCCGCCCTCAGGGGCCTGGGGGGTAGAGGCTGTCCAGCTAGGGTTGCCTTGGGTCGCTGAGATGGGGCAGGCAGAGGGGCCTCTGCCAGCTGGGCAGGTCCGGGTTGGGGGCCCCGCCCGCCCCTGCCGGTGACCTAGGGAGCCGCCAGGAGCCAGGAGCCTCAGCTCTGCTCTGTGGCCTCCTGCCTAGGTCCTCCTGCTGACCAAGTGCACCCTGACCTTGGGGAGCTCAGCGGGAGCCCGCCCGCCAGTCCCAGCCAAGGCGCCTGGAAGGTCATCGCTGAAGGCTGGTCACCTGCTGGGCACGGCGGCCCTTCCCCCATGGCCAGCTGCCCTGGCGGGCAGCTGGGATAGGCCAGGCTGGCCGTTGTGAGGAGCTTTGCTGGGTGAAGTTGGCCTGTTTGAGGGCAAGCTGGAGGGGAAGGCCGACCGAGCTGAACAGAAAGTGCTCGAAGATGGGACGGAAAGCCACTTCTGGGTGGGAAGCCCGCCACGAGGGTCCTGACCCTCAGGGGACCGCGTGGCTCTGGAGGCGCATTTGGTGGAAGTAACGTGACCGCGTGTCCTGAAGTTGCCATTTGAGGTCAATTTGGAAACAGGGACAGTGGGGCTGCGGAGCGTCTGTCGCGGAGGCTGCGGCCAGTTCCCCGGGCACCCCGCTGGGCTTTTGTCCAGGGCAGAGATGCGGGCCCAGCGCCGAGCCAGGGCAGGGGGCGGCAGTGCGTGCGGACCCCAAGGCCAGCCGCGCACGTGCCTCTGCTGACCCAAAATGGAGAACTTCCAGTACAGCGTCCAGCTGAGCGACCAGGACTGGGCCGAGTTCTCGGCCGCCGCCGAGGAGTGTGGCCTCCTGCAGGCCGGCCTGGCCTCTGGGGATGAGCTTCTGTCCGGTGACACGGACCACGGGGACAGCAGCGACAGCAGCCCCCCCGGGCCCCGGCCCCTTCCCGGGGGGCGTGGCTGGCGTGACTGCGAGGAGGAGGACCAGGCGGCCCCGCAGCCGCTGGTCAGCAGGTCTTGGCAAGAGCCCGTCCTGGCCCCGGGGGCTGGTCAGCAGATGCCCAGCACGTCCGCGCGGTCAGAAGCCCGGCCGTCCCTCAGCTCTGGCGCTGCCCCTCCCGACCACAGCACGTCCCTCCCAGGGCCAGTATCTTCCAGAGACGAGATGCAGAGGCTTCTGCAGGGGCCGGCCCCCCGGGACCCTGCCCCTAAGCCCCCGGGGGAGCCCCCTCCGAGCCCCGAGTCGCCAGGCCGCAGCGCTGCGCCCCAGAGGGCCCCCGGCAGCCCTGGAGCCCTGCCCCGCAGCCCCAGCCGAAAGAAGAGGCGCGCTGCCGGTGCCAAGGCGGGAGGGCGCTCGGGGGCCGCGGGCTCTGCCTCCAGCCGGCTGGGCTCCCCGCTGCTCGCTGAGGCCCGGCCCCAGGAGGACCTGGGCCCAGCGGGGGCCACGGGGAAGGACGCCCCGGCTGGGACGGCAGAGCGAACGGCAGGAGCCTGGCAGGACGAGCGGGGGCCGGAGTCTGCAGGTGCCCCTGAGCCCGTGGCCAGGCCAGGGCCGGGGCTGGATGTGTCTCCACCTGTCCCCTCCGCTGAGCAAGGGACAGACCCACTCAGGATGACTCCCAGAGCCGACCTCCACCCTGTGTCCACGCCTGCCCGGGAACCTTTTCCAGATTTCTCAGCGGCTAAGTCAGACACGGCTCTGTCTGGACCTGCCTCCCAGCTTCCTCCCGGCACGGCTGTGTCTGCCCCCGCCTGCGAGCCTAGACTGGACGTGGACCGGCCCACGCCGGGCCCAGAGGTCAAGCCAGACGTGGACTCCTCTGCACCTGCCTCAAAGCCGCAGTCCGACGTGGAAGTACCCACACCTGCCCCCGCCGCGCAGGCCGGGCCTGCCCTGGGGGAGGCAGAGGCTGCCCCCCCGGCCAGGCTGGGGTCGGGCCCTATAGTGTCTCCAGGGGGGCACCCGGAGAGGCCCACCAGGGAGCCCTCCGCAGCTGCCCCTGCGTGTGCCTTGGAGGAACCCCCGCCAGGTCCCATCCAGGCCTCCAAGAAGAAGAAAGTGCGGTTCTCAGTGACTGTGCCCAGCCCCGAGGAGCCGGGGTCAGGAGAGGCCTCGCGCCCCCTCTCGCCAGCCACGGCCTGGCCCTCAGCCCCCAGGACGGCAGCGGGGGGCCGGGGGGCGCCTGGGGCTTGGGACGCAGTGGCGGTTGGGCCCCGGCTCCCCCAGTCCCGGATCCTGAAGCACCTGCCCCCTCCCGCCCCCTCTGCCTCTGGGGGCCTCGGCTACAGGAGCTGCTTCGCGGTGACTGTCCCAGAAGCCTATGAGTTCTTTTTCTGTGACACTATAGAGGAGGAGGATGAAGGTGCTGAGGAGGTGGCAGAGGCCAGCGAGGTCCCAGCCCAAGTCCAGTGGCCAGAAGTGTGTGAGTTCTTCTTCCGGGACAGCCAAGGCCGGAGGTCAGGGCACCGGGGGGGCCAGTGCCCGGCCCCGGCCCCAGCCACGCCTGGGCCAGCCCCCCTGCCTGGGGACCCCGTGCCGATCTCCATCCCCGAGGCCTACGAACACTTCCTTGGGGAAGACAGGCTGGGGGCCGTGCCGGGGCCGGCCGCCCCCCTCCAGCTGCAGGCCGCAGAGGCCCGCACGGCGGCCCCCCCGGGAGTGGAGCCGGGCACCCGGCCGGAGCGCAGCCTGGCTGCAGTGGGGCAGCTCGACCTGGTGCTCAGGCCAGCAGGTGAGTGTCGTGGGGGCCCCACAGCCTGTCCACATCCTGGGAACACACTGTCCGGGGATTTCAGCCAGGACGGCCACTGGGGAGGGGCAGGCAGGACCCCGGTCGGCAGCAGGGGGCCCCGAGGATGATCGGGGAAGGAGGGACCGGTCCCTGGCTATCCCAGGACACAGCCCGGGTGGGCCAGCCCGCGCCGGGTCATTCAGGGGCTTGGCCATGCACTGGCGGTCACCCTGCGTTCAGGCCCCCATGACACCCGAGCCCTGCCCCCAGCTGCCGCGGGGCGGCCGGTGCTGCGTGGCGTTCGTCTCACATTCCCTCTGGAAGCTGCTCCAGAGACCAGGGAACGGCGCCCCAGAGGCCCCGTGCCCACGCTGACCTGGCTCGACTATGCCACTCGCTGCCCTGAGTCTTGGGACAGAGGCATCATGGGGCAGACGTGACTCAGGAAGAGTGTCCCAGGGCAGACAAGTCTCCACACGCACGTGCGGGGCCGCTGGAGCTCAGAACGTGCTTTTCCTTCCTAGAAAAGCCCCGCGGTCCCCTCGCCTCGTTAGCCTTCAGCCAGAACGACATGTGCCTGGTGTTTGTCGCCTTTGCCACCTGGGCTGTGAGAACGTCAGACCTGCACACCCCCGACGCCTGGAAAACAGGTTTGGGGGCCCCGGGGGAGGGGGCTGGCGCCCAGGAGTCCCGTGGACCCGCGGGTGCTGTCTCACGCGCTGGGCCCGCGGGAGAGCTGGGAGCGCAGGTTTCTTCCCGAGGCCCCGCTCGCCCCGCGGGCTCCCTCCTGCGCTCGAGGGCTGGCCCTGCGGTGGGAGGGGAGGCTCAGGCAGCCCCCTGCTTCCCTTGCAGTCTTGCTGGCCAACATCGGCACCATCTCCGCCATCCGCTACTTCCGCCGGCAGGTGGGGCGTGGGCGCCGCAGCCCCAGCCCCGGCCCCAGCCCCAGCTCCTAGGGCCCACGCTTGGCCCAGGAAGATGCAGGACGAGGAAATGGCTGCAGGTGCTCAGGACCAGGCGCTGCCCTCTGGCCTTGCCCTTTGACCCTTGCATTCCGTGGCAGCATCTAGGAAGGAGCCCGGGTCCTCAGTCCTGGCTTCCTTGGACTCTGCCCAAGGCTCAGGCCAGTGGCCGGAGCCCAGACTGCTCCACAGCCGGGAGGGGAGGTTCGGAAGGTTGTTTGGCTGAGGCTGGGCAGGCAACTGCTTAGCAAGGTGGACAGATTTGCAAATAAAGACCGGGCACCCGGCAAAACTGGGGTTTCACACAGACAGTACCAGAGACGGACAGGCGCTCGTCGGCCTCGGAGCTCGGCACCCCTGTCCCCGTCGCATTTTGATGAGCAAAGAACGTTCCGGCGCTTGCTCGGGTCGCACTTGCTGGCACTTGCATGAGTCACGCTGCCGCCCCGCAAGACAAAAGGCTTCGTTGGGTGTTCGTGGGTTTTGGCACTCGGCCCGAGTTCCGGAACAAATTGATGACGAGTACCAAGGTATCACTGTACTTAGACCAAGAAATTATTTGTGGTTTATGTGAAATCAGATTTCACAGGGTGTCTCTTTTGTCTGGTTGTCTAGTTAGGGGGCAAGAGGCAGGACGGAGCATTGGAAGTAGAGGGTGCCAGAGCGGCAGCAGCAGGGCCCCACCCGGAGACCTGGGCAGGGGCAGGGGCGCGGGGACGGGGTGGCCGGGAGGCGCTGGGGCCGGGGGTGGGGCCTCCACGGACTCCGCCCTGTTCCCAACTGGGCCGGGCGGGCAGGGCCCCAGAGGCCTCGGTGAGCCCTGAGCCCAGGCCTCTGGGGCTCCTGCCTGAGACAGCGAGCAGGCCCCACAGGGGCTGCTGGAAGGCGCCCCCAGAGGCCCCTGCGGGGTCGGGGGCTGCAGGCAGAGCCCGAGGCTCCTCCTCAGGGAGCCCTGGGCGGGGTGCGCAGCAGAGTTCGGCGGTGTCAGGCGGAGGGATGGGACGCCCGCGCCTGTCCCAGGGCTGAGAGGAGCCAGAGAGGGGCATGAAGGTGGGCAGCGGGCCAGCGAGGTGCTGGAAGGGCATTCGGCCAGAGGCAGCGGGCACGGGTCCCAGGCAGCAGGGGCCTCCTGGCCGCCGAGGGAAGAACGTGTGGACACAGACAAATAAAGTTTCCTTCTCTTCGTTGTTGTTTAGTCTCTTGCCCCTTCCTCCGGAGCATCGCCCCCCCCTGCCCCCCGACATGTGCACGGGCAGCCCTCCTACCTCGGGCATTGCCACCTCTGGCCTCGTGACCTCACGTACTCTGACCCGAACCCAACTTTCGTCGCTCTCTGACCTTCACCCCTGCTGCATTCTTACACTCCCAGGTGAAGCCTCGATCAAGCCCCCTCCCTCACTCTCTCCCCGGGCGTAGGCCAGGGTTCGGGCCCCCTGGGTGCCCTGGCCTGCGGTCCAGCTGCACTGGTTTTGGGCGTCCTCAGGGTGAGGACGTCCTCTCGGCCCCTCCTGAGCCTAGAAAACTCGGATCTGGACACCCTCTCCACCCCTGGGGTCAGACCCTGACCGGGTAGTTGGCCGGGGGCCCCACAGCGACCAGGCCTTGCTGGAGATCCCCAGGGCTGACGCTGGCAGGTAGTCCTGAGAAGCAGCTGCCCAGGGCCCCTCAGATCCACTGGGTGAGCTCCCCCTCAGCCTCGGTCGCTCCACGGGGCCACCGCTGGTGTGGGGGAGACAGAGGCTTGTCCCAGACGTTGTCATAGCTCCGGGGGCATTCGCCGTCTGCTGGGAGGGGCGGAGGGGCATGTGCCTTCGGGAAGCAGCACCCAGAGCTCCCCCCCAGGAAGGGGCAGGGTCCCTCGCTCACCTGGGGGGCGCAGCAGGGGCTTAGGTGGAACATCCCTGGAAGGGGAGACCTGGAGACCGCAGACACCGGTGTGAGCGCCCAGCCCGGGGGAGGGGCTGGGAAAGCCGCGGCGGGCGGCCACGCTCCGCGTCCCCGGGCTCCCTGCCCCGTGGCCCGTCTCCACCTCCGTCCCAGGGGGCCCCCAGGGCCCCGTGCCCAGGGCGGGGGCGGCTGCTCACCAGCTGAGGGGAGTCCGGGGGCCGGGGCTCGCGGCCCTTGGCAGAGCCCCGGTGCCGCTGAGAAGCCCGGCCCTGCAGGGCTCCCTTTCTGGAGAGCGGGTGGGGGCCGGCGGCCGCAGAGCTGGGGTCGGAGACAGGCACAGACACAGGGACGGAGGGGAAGGGGCTCGAGGGGCTGGGTCCGCGGGAGCTCTTCATCGCGGCGAGGAACTGCCGGGGACAGCGTTGGTGACTCGGGACGCCGGCCCGCAACCCCCTGAGCCCCTCGCAGCCCCGGCAGACCTCAGGCTTCCTCTGAACCCTGGGCTGGGCTGCCGCAGCCCAGACCTGAGTCCCCGCAGAGGCTGTGGGCACGTCCAGCCCTTCCTGTCGCCAGCAGGGAACTGACCTCGTCCAGGCCCTGGACCTCTCTGATTTTGTGATGGGAGGTGGCAGGTGGTGTGTAGGGGTCGGTGTACAGGGGGGAGTGAGGTGTCTCCAGTGAGTGGTCTGGGGCCTCTGGGCCACCCTCCAGGCTCAGCCTGGTCACCTGCAGGCAAGAGGCAGAAGAGTTGGGCTTCCTGGAGCTGGAAACACCCAGGTCCTCCCCCCTCTTCCTCCGTGAGAGAGGCTTCTGGGCCAGAGAGACAGAGGCTGGGGGGTGGAGGGCAGAGGAGAGCCAGGCCCCGAGCCGGGGCCAGTAGCTGGGCCCACCTTGGTCAGGTCCAGGTGCAGTGGGGAAGCTGAGCCGGGCCCCTCACCCCTGGCCTTGCTTCTGGGGGACCGGCTGCTGCCGCCCCGTCTCAGCTCAGCCTTCTGCCTGCTGATGCTGGTGCAGCCAGAATTGGCCTGGTCCTGTGGGGAGCAGGAACTTCTAGAAGGTTCCCAGGGCCCCCCTCACACAAGCCTTCGAGTCCCCTCTCCTGAGGAGCTAGCATTGCGTGAGGGCTGAGGTGCCAGGGGGACCCAGACTCCCCAACACAAACTTGCCTTATGCCCCCTCCCCCTGCCCCCTGCCAGGACACTCACGGGTGCAGGCGGGGCAGGGCCGGCGGTGGACGGCGCCGAGTACTCAGGGAGGGAGCGGCTGGTGCGGGCGGAAGCGGGTGCCGGGCACCCTGAGTCCCAGCTGGTCTGTCCATCCGAAGAGAGCGAGCCTCGGCCACTGCCCAGGACCTGGCGTCGGGCGGGGGTGGTGAGCCGCAGGCAGGACCCCTCTCCTCACAGACCCACGCCCAGCCCTGCCCTCTGCCCGCCCGTGGTCCTCGCTGCGCGGGCCTGCGGACCCTCACCTGGGCGGGCCCCCGCAGCCCCAGGAGGCTCTCGGGGCCGGGCAGGAGCGGGGCGCCCTCCCTGCGGGAGACGGTCTGCAGGCAGAGCAGCCAGTGGCTGTAGTCCTCGTAGCTGGCGCACAGCACGCGGATGGTGTTGATGAGGCGGCCTGGCACACGGCACACAGACACCGTGAGGTGCCCCCCAGGCCCCGCCGAAGAGCCGGCACCCGCTGGGCTCACGCCCTCCCTCCCAGGCCCGGCCACAGCCCACCTTCGATCAGGAAGGAGCGGATCTGCTTCCCCTTCTCCTCCAGGTTGATGTGGATGGCGCTGAGTGGAAGCTCCCCCTGCAGGGCAGCGAGGGAGGGCGGGGCCTTTGTCCGGGCACAACGCTGGCCTCTGCCTGGGCCCGTCACCCCATGGCCCTTCCGAGCCGGGGACACCAGGGAGGACGAGGCAGGGCCCTGACCAACAGCCCCGAAGGAGGCAGGTGCTCCCATCGGCCCCGGGGGCATCCTGATGCCCTGCCCCCACCCCCGCCCCTGAGTGGGTCCTTCCTCAACCAATGGCCGCGACACAGGCCGACGCTTAATGGGACAGGCCCCTCCCTCACGCGGGACGGGTGCTGCGGGGACTGAAGCCCCTGCGTGTGCGCCCCAGCAGCTGGAAGTCGCGAGCTCCTCTGGGGCGCTACCGGGGCCTGGGCAGGGCCCCTCTGGCCCACATCAGAGCTGAGACCAGACTGACCAGGGCAGCAGGCCAGGCGGGTGGGGCCAGGATGCTCTGTCCCAACCGGCCCGAAATACAGGTTCCTCCTGAGCCACGGCCCCCTCCCACCCCTACACACAAGGCGCCTCCCCGGGGCGGGTCACGGCAGGGGGGACCCACCTTAAAGCAGAGCCCGTCCGCCTCCTCAGAGAAGATGGCCAGCGACGCTGGGTACAGGACCAGGAGGCGGTCCCACTGCTCCTGCCAGGTGGTCAGAGGGCAGCGTGGGGTCGCCCCTGCTGCCTCGCCCCGCGTCTCGCCCCCCGCCCCTCCCCCTTGCACCCCTGCCCCCCACCTGCGACGGCAGGTGCTGCAGTTTGACCCTCGAGGCGCAGAGGGCGCCACCCACCGCCGGGCGCCCCGCCGTCCGCAGCTGGGTCAGCCTGTGCTGCAGACTCCAGGGGAGCTCGTCCTCGGGGGTGTCCTGGGGAAAGGGGCGTCAGGGCAGGTAGACGGGGGGGGAGGCGGGGGGGGCCTTGGAGCAAGGGCGGGGTTCCCGGCACTGACCTGCGGGGGCGCCGAGTGGCAGCGCTGTGGTCCTCCCAGGAGGGCCGTCTGCTTTTCCAGGTGGTAGAGCCAGAGGTCCAGCTCGGCCTGGCTGGGGCAGACCACCAGAAGGGGCGCGGGCAGCGGGCCTGCGGGCAGAGCAGCGGGGTGGGCTATGCGAGCGGCCCCCAGGAGAGGGCCTCCCCGGGGCCCCACGCAGCCCCCAGGGCCGCGGCGGGGAGGAGCCTGGGGTGCTGCGCAGGACCTGCCGCCCTCCCCGCAGCCCGGCCCGTGGCTGTGTGCCCACCGGAGGGAAGGTCAGGAGCCTTCGTATGCTCAGGGTCCTGCCACTGTCCTGGCGCCTGGCCAGAGGCCAAGGCCACTGAGCAGCCCTCGCCCTCTGGCCCTGCTGGGGCTGGGACTGCCCGTGCGCCCACCCACCTGTGATCTGGAAGGCGTGCTCTCCGGTCCCCTCCAGCGGGCAGATGCTCAGCTCCACCAGCGGCAACAGCCCCTGCCAGGGCACAGCGGGAGGCAAGGGCTGCAGGGCGCCGGGGGACACCGCCTGCCAGGGGGCTCTCTCCCTGTCCCGACAGCCTCCGCCCCTGCCCGCTTCTCTCACCTGGAAAGTGAGTCCCTCAGAACCGTGGGCCTGGAAGTAGAGGTGGGAAGGAAATAGCTCCAGGTAGCAGTCGCTGACGTCCTAGGGGGGGAAGGTCGCTGTCTGAGCACCGGGGGGCAGGCCGCAGGCTGGGCCCCACGCACCCGCCTGGCCGGGCCCCACCGGGCCGGGCCCCCACCTGGCTGTGCTGGAATCTCAGCTGGACCTTGGCGTAGTGCACAACCTTGCCCAGGTTCCTCACGGGCACCCTGCGTCGCCCCTTCTTGAACACACTCAGGAACGGCTGGTCCAGGTGTTCCCGTTGGCTCTCCAGGCCCGGGACGTCCTGCGGGGAGCGGAACTCAGGGGAGGGGCCGGAGCCCCAGCACGTGCGCGTGGGCACACACACGCGGGCGCACGGCCGCGCCGAGAGCCACGGGGTTGTGCGTGCGGTCCCGTGGCGGAGACGGTGGTGGCTGGACTCAAAGGAGATTCCCAAACTGTGTTGTTTACCGTGTCGTTACTTTGGTTACTCAGCGCCCCCAAGACTTGTTGGTCATGGGGTTCTGGGTGTCTGAGGCAGATGACGCTCAGAACCCCCCTGAGTCTCCACTGTCGGCTGGTAAATCTTGGACACCTGGTTCGAAAACAGGTCCTAAGGTGATTCACAGCATTTGCCAGCCCCTCCGCGGCCCATGTCAGGCCGCCAGGTGGTGTCTGTGGACGTGGAGCTGGAAGGGAGTGCGTGCCCCTGACCCTCTGACGCCACTCAGTGGAGGTCAGGCGTGGCCCAGGGGCCCTCTACGACCGGCCGCACCCGGCCCTCGTGCTCTTCCCTCACGCCAGGCGTGTGCCCGGCTCAGGGCCTCGAGTCGGCTGCTCCCTCCGCCTGGGCCAGGCGTCTCAGCTCCTTCAGGGCGGGCTCACACGGCCTCCCCCGTGACCCGTCGGGAGCTCTCTAACAGCCCACCCTCCCGACCCCTGCGTGTGCCTCGGTGCCGACCACGTCTTGCTGATTCCATCTTTCACTCGTCGGCCGGGTCGTGGTTCTCTCACAGGGATGGAAACACCACGAGAAGAGGGTTTTTGTCTGTTTTGCCCACCACGGTATCACTTGGGCCACGACAGGCCTGGGATGTGCTGGGGGCTCCGTGCCCGCAGACACGGAGCCAGTTCTGGGACGCGGAGGGGCCTCCGCCAGCAGGGGCTTGACCGTCGGCCTGGACTCCGACGGGGCTGAGTGCTGGCCGGCACTGGGGGGCTGCGCTGTGGCGGGGCCACGCTCCCTCTGGGGCCAGCAGGGGCTGCTTCACCGGCTGCCGTGCCCCGGCCAAGCTCAGCCGCCCCGTGGACAAGCCCAGGAATGTGCACAGACCGACTCGCGGCTCCTGCCTCCCTGCCTCTGGGTGGGGCCTCCTGCACCCACACCCAGTTTGGGGAACGACACTGGGATGGGATCCTGAAAACTAGGCCACGGAGCAGGAGGGGCTGTGCAGACGGCCCCGTTGCCTGGGCTCAGCCTCGGGGCCCAGGAGGCGCCGGTTCCGAGGCACCTGTGCAGGGCCCAGGGACGGCGGCCTTCTCCCCAGCCCCATCTCCCGCGAACAGCATGCCCGGGCCCCCCTCCAGCCGCCGGTCCTGGCAAGAGCGGGCCGCCGCCCTCGGGGGACTCCACCAGGGTCCTGTGACGTGTCCTCGCCTGGACAGCGGGCGCTGCGGTCCGAGAGGTGGCCACGCCGAAGGACCCCGGCCTCTGAGGGGGTCCCGTCTCTGAAGCCCATCCTGGCCCTCAGGGAGCCCCGGAAGCCCACCCAACCGGAGGACAAGCAGGGCAGGGCAGAGCCCTGGCCCCAAGCCCCCTGGGTGACCTCTGAGCCCCAGGGGAGCTGGGCGGGGGAGGGGCGGTTCCCAGCTCAGCAGGCCCGTCCTTGCTGTGTGGCCCTGGGGTGGGGGGACACAGGGCGTTGCTCTGGGAGGCCACGGTGGTGGACTGGGAGATGCCTTGGAAGAAGCTGAGGCCCGGACCAGGCGAGAAGCAGGCTGGCTGGCTGATCACCCAGGCCCCTCACCCGCAGGAAAGGGGGGGTGGGGGGCGGGCTTCGCACCCCCTCGAGGAACACGACCTCCGAGCCCGCACAGCGGCAACTCAGAGATACGTGGCCTTGCGCCAGCCCAAACGTGACTGGACACGCTGTCCAGTCCTGAGCCAGGCGGGCAGACACCGGCCTGGCGCCCGGCCCGCAGTCCCCTCCGAGGCGGCCGCTCCGGAGGCCCCGCCCACCGCGCCGCCGGCTGGAGGCTGGTGCTCGCTCACCCACTGACTCAGAGCGGGTCCCGGTTTCGCTCTCCGCTCAGACTCTCGGCCGGAGCAGCTCCTGGGGTGGGGCCGTTTCTGCTTCCTCCCCTCGCTCTGGATTTGCCCCCCACCCCAGGCCCAGGAGACCCTGGGCCGCGCAGATGGGGAGCGCACACACCGCCGCGGGGGCCGCCACCGCGCCCCGAGGCGGCCGGCGCCCGAGACCGGCACGCCCGCCGCCGCTCACCGTCCCAGGGATGTAATAGAAGATCTTGTTGGCGGTGGTGTCCCCCTCAGCACGGGCCTCGGTGCCAAACAGGCCAGCCAGCTTCCGCGCGCCATCCTCTCTGGGGACAAAGGGGGCTCACAGCTTGTCCCTCAGGGCAGGCTGAGGGTGACCCTGTGACCCAGTACCGAGGCCACGCCCGCCTCTCACCGACTGCCCTTCAGCGAGGGCTTTCTGGAGAAGGAGGCCCGGAGCCTTCTAGGAGCCTGAGGGACGCAGTGGCTGTTCCCCATGGGCAGCGGTGGCGGCTGGGTGGCTGGCCCCAGCGAGCAGGTCGACGGGTCTGGGTCCCGGGGCCTGAACCTCCTGCCCCCACCTCCTGGAGGCGGGCGGCGCCGGTTCCCAGGGCCGGGCGAGGGCGGAGCCTCTCTGGGAGGGACCGGCCCTACCTGGGCCCAGCCTTCCAGTCCTCGGCCCTGGGTCTTCCGCCCACGCAGGCCAGCCTGGGGGGCGCGCGCGGGCGCGAGGATCCCCCGGCTCAGCCCAGAGCGCCCCCCCCCCCCCCCCCCGCATCTCCGCCTCCAGTCCGAACAGGAGGGCCTCCCAGGCGGGGCCCCTGAGCACGTGGCCTGCCTGAACCCAAGCTGGGGTGCCTGGGCTGGGGCTCGGCAGGCCCGGGGACCCCTCTCGAGGCACCCCATGGGAGCACACATCCTGTTTCCACCGCAGCGCGGTCTGAGTCACCGGTGACTGTACGGGGAGGGTGCGCTGCCTCGGGAAGCAGGAGCCTGCGCCTCCAGGGGCGGGGAACCCAGGACCCTCCTCCACCGTCTCGCTCCCGGCCCGGGGGCCAAGGTCAGGGCCCCACCGGCTCAACCGGGGTCTGGGGAGGAGACAGTCGGAGATGGGCCGCGGGGGCCTCCAAGCACCAGGCTGACAGGCGCCACCCTCGGGCCCTGGTCCAGGACATCACAGTCCTGCCCCAGCGGACACAGTGGCGCCGCCTCCAAGGCCCCAGATGCCAGCGCAGTGCCTCAGCCCAGCTGTGCCCTTGCCCCCAAACAGGACCCCGACGGGCAGAGATGCACGCTCAGACTCAGGCCCAGAGCCCAAGAAACAAGTTTATTGTTCAAGTCGGCTCATATTGCTGTGAGGGGTCTGTGGCACGTGTGTGCGCCCAGCTCAGTGCAGGATCCAGAAGACACCCCGCCCGCAGGTAGGAAGCCCCCTCTGTGCCCTCCCTGGGAGTGTGCCTTGCCGGGCGAGGCAAGGGCGGTGTGTGCAAAGCAAAGGCGGGGGGTCTGCACCTGCTCAGCGGCCGCCTCCCCCCGCCCCTGCCAGCTGCTCTGCATCTACCTTCTACCTCGTGGCCCCTCCGGGTCTGCAGAGTCCGTGTTGGCCCCGACCCACGGGCAATGCATGTCCACCCCCACGCTCCCTGGTGCCCCCCGCAGGGCGGGAGGGCGCGCCCAGGCCGGCAGCTTGGTCCCAGACACAGGACACCTTCTAGAGTAAACGTATGAACTGGTGCCTGCAGCACTGCTCATCGACCAATAAATACTGAATAAATAAACAGACGAGTAAAGAAACGGTGCGCACGGAAACAGACGAACACTGAGGAACGGACACAGAAACGCGGACGGACAGTGCGTCCCTGGCGCGCGCGAGGGAACCCAGCCCCGACACGCGGTCGAGGGGAGGGAGGCGCTGGGGCCCCCTGGGGGGCTTAAGGCATGTGGGAGGCCGCGGGGCCAGCCTCTGGCAGCCCCCGGGTCAGAGGCTGGTGGACGACACAGACAGCGTGGGCGACGACGGCGGCGGGAAGTTGAGCAGCTCGAGCACCGCCACGCCCACGCTGCTGCGCCGGGTGAACATGCAGGACGCGGCCACCCACTTGTTGGTCCTCGGGTTGTACTTCTCGATGGAGTTGAGGCTGGAGCTGCCATCGTTGCCCCCCACGGCATACAGCCAGCCGTCCATAGCCACCAAGTCGTGGGTGCTCCTGGGGGCGGGACAGGTGGGTGTGAGTCCGCAGGGCGGAGCCACAACCCCTCCAGCCCCCGGGGGCGGAGCCACAGGCCCTGGGAGGAGCTTCTGGGGGTGGAGCCACGGACCAAGGGAGGAGCTTCTGGGGGTGGAGCCACGGGACAGGAAGGAGCCTCTGTGGGGAGCGCACTCGGGGAGGGTCCTGGGAAAGAGCATGGGCATACCGCGCAGGCGCAAGCGCAGGCGCGTGAGTGGAGGGACAACCGGCTGTGGTGGTGACAGGCGGACACACCCAGCCAGTGGGCGGTGGCACAGCGCACCTTCGGATGTTCATGGGCGCCACACTCTCCCAGGCCCCGGCCTTGGGGCTGTATCGCTCCACAGAGTTGAGGCAGCTGGTGCCATCGTTGCCGCCGGCCACGTAGAGAGCCCCCTCCAGCACCGCCACGCCCGCGGAGCTGCGCCGGCTCAGCATGGAGGCCACCGGCGTCCACGTATTCACCTGCGGTCGAGCGTACCCGCTGGGGGCAGACCCACCACCAGCCTCCCTCCGCCTCCGAGCGCAGACCCCTGCTCTAGGGCGGGCGCCGTGGGACGCCGGATACTCAGGGGGCGTGGGTGGCCAAGGGGGGGGGCCCTCAGGCAGCCCTCGGGAAGGGGACACCTGCGGCTGGGGCGTCTCGCACCTGGGGCTCATACTTCTCCACAGTGGCCAGGTGTGACGAGCTGTCGTAGCCGCCCACTGCATACAGGCTGCCATCTGCAGGGAGGCAACATGCTGTGGGTGCCTGCGCTGTGCGGGGTCTCCCGGGCGGGGGCGGGGGCGACACCCCGAGCCCCCTCACCCACCAAGCATGGCCACGCGAACATAGCGCCTGCGGGTGCTCATGGCAGCGATGGATGTCCACGTTCCGGTCAGGGGGTCGTAGCGCTCGGCACTGTGGACGACAGGGCCACCGCCGACCTTGAACGGCCGCAGGCCAGGGCCTGCCCTCCCGGACGGCGACTAAAACGCTGGGCTGGGCGGCCGCCGAGGCCGCCCTGAGCCCCCGCGCCGGACGCAGGCCTGCTGCGCACGCTCGGCCCGGGGCACGGGGGTCGAAGCCTGGCCGGGGCAGGCCGGCGGGCACGGGCGTCACGGCTCAGGGGCCTGCGGTCAGGCGACGCCCCTCTTGGCTCCCTGCAGGGTGTAGCCGCTGCGGCCCTGCTGCGGCCACCCGGGCCAACCCCGAAAGGCCGCCCCGCCCTGACCTCCGCCACTACCTGTTGAGGCAGGAGGCGCCATCGTAGCCACCGGCCGCGTACAGGAGCCCGTGCAGGGCCGCCACCCCCAGGCAGCTGCGCCTCGTGCCCATGGACACCTCAGGCTGCCAGGCGTTGGTAACAGGGTCATACGACTCCACGGTGGCCAGGTCTGAAGTCCCGTCGTAACTAGGAGAGGGGTCCACCGCTGGTCAGAGCTGGCCCAGGGGGCACACGCCAGGCCTCTGACCCGACAGCAGTCTCCGCACTTACCCGCCCACTGCGTACAGTCGGTTCCCAACCGCCGCCACGCCCACCCTGGCTCGGCGTGTGGACATGGAGGCCACCACGTGCCAGCGGTCAGTGCGCGTGTCATAAGCTTCACAGTCCCCGTGGATGGCGAACAGGCTCCCGCCACCTGGGGAGGGGGAGGTGCTGGGGCAGGATGAGGGGCCCGGGGAGGCAGCGCGCTGGGGGCTGCGGCCTGGCTCAAGGCGGAGGGCGCCGGGGCTCCGGGGGGGTTTGGGAGTGGGTCACGAGGTCCTCCACAGGCGCAAAGAGGCGTGGGCGCGGGGGAGGGGCTGGTGCCAGGCTTGTGAACAGAAGGTGTGGGACACAGGTGTAAGGGAGAGGGAGGGGACGAGGGGACAGGGCTGGTGGCATACCCACGGCGAAGAGCACAGGGCCGGCGCCCTCGCAGCGCCGCGGCCGCGTGCGGCTGGTGCCCAGCACGCCTCTCTGCTCTGGCAGCAGGTGGAACTTGAGGGCCTCGATGAGCAGGTCCTTGCAGTCAGGGTGGTGCCTCACCAGGCTCTCTGCGTCCACGTGGCCCAGCAGGAAGTCCCGGCTCAGCAGCGGCAGACGCACACACTTCATCAGCTGGGGTGCAGGGCGCCACGGTCAGGCAGCAGGTAGACCGTGAGTGCGCCCACCTCGTCCATGCAGTGAGAGCCCCAAGACACCCGTCCACCTGCATGCCGGACACTTCTTGAGACATGTGCCTGTGTCACCCCGTGGTCCCCTGGGCACGGAGGAGCCCAGGCACTTTCACACACTGTATTCCCTTCTAGACACAGCGGGCCCCAAGGGGCTGGCCTCACCCGTGGGACGTGCTGCCTCCGAGCATCCACGTCGTGCTTGACCCAGCTCAGGACGGCACGGTAGACGTCCTCCTCTGAAGGCACGTTCAGGCTGTCGCTAGAGACCAGTTCCAGCACCTGGGGGTGGGGACCCTCAGACCTAAAATCCGGGGAGGGTCTTGGGGGCCCATGGAGCCCTGACGGTGCCTGGGAAGGTGCCAACGGGGGGCCCAGCATTCCTACGAGGAGGGGCTAGGCAGGGTCAGGAGCCACAGGTGGGGTTCCTGGAGGCCTTGGTATTCCTGGGGACACGGAACCAGGGATTGGGGTTGTAGGCAGGGATGTGGTCAGGAACCAAAGCAGAAGCCTTGGGTGGCGTCAGAAAACGGGGACAAAGAGGTGGCAAAGGATGGGTGGTGGGGCTGGCACATACATCAGAAGCTGGGAATGAGGGTTAGGGGCAGATGTCCAGGTCTTAAGGGGCCAGACGATGGGGCCAGGGGTCTAAGGGTTGGGTGCTGTTCTGGGGTCCAGGGACTGGGTCACGGCCCAGGCTGTGCCCCAGCTGGCACGTTACCTGCTTCAGCGGCAACAGCATGAACTCCTCGGTCTTGGCCACGTCCACGAAGTGCTGCAGCACGTACCTGTGCGCCGCCTTGAGCAGGTCACTGCACGAGTGTGTGTCGGCGAAGCCCCGGATGCCCAGGCAGTTGGAGGGGTCGAGCTGACTCAGCAGGAACTTGCAGCAGGCGTCACGGACGCCGTTCAGCTGCAGAAGGCTGGCGGCGGGGAGCAGAGTCTGTGGGCGAGGGGGCGGGGGAGCAGAGGCAGAGAAACAGGTGAGAGGAGGGCTGAGGCAGGGGAACGGCGGGGGTGGGATGGAAGGGGCGAGGCAGCCTCACCTGCACGTTGCCTTCGCCCACCACGATCTCGGCCGTGTAGGCAAACTGCACCAGCTGGTCCAAGGCCTGAGGGTCAATGTCATGCAACGTCACGTGTGTCTGCCGGCTCTCGCTCATCTCATCTGTGGGGACAGCGGGTCAGGCCGGTCCCACCTGGGAAGACCCGCAGAGTCCCCAAGTGCACATTGGGTGGGGTGGTACTTGCTTGTGAACATGGCATGGAAGTAGGGGCTGCAGGAGGCCAGCACCACCTTGTGTGCTCGGATCTCCTTGGCAGCCACGTGCAGAACGATGTCACACAGGAGGCCCCTCTGCCGCATGCGGCTCATGGCCACGAAGGCATCATGGTAGTGCCGCTTGGAGTTGTGGGACACAGTGTGGCCCTCTCGGCTCAGCAGCTGCATGGCACCCTCCATGGGGGCCGCGGGCCGGGCCGGCCGGGTCCGCGCACGCTCGGCCTCAGGGCTGCGGATGGGCGGTGCCAGGTCAGGGTGCCAGAGCAGGGCCGGGGCACCCAGGAGGCCACTCCTCCCCTCAGGGCCCATACCTGGAGTCCATCAGGGACCTCACCTGCGGCCTCGGCTCACCCTACTCTGCTCCCTCACTTCCAGGAGCCTCCCACCTTCTCCCATTAGGTCGGAGTGTGGAACCTGCACAGCTTCCTCTGCCCACCCCTCCTTAAACACCGTGCTCCTTGCTGCCCAGGCGCCCCAGTCACAGCCAGGCTTTCCTCTGCCCATCGCTGGCCACCCTTCCCAGGTCCCCATCGGAGCCCCGGCTGGCACACAGGAAGTGCACGAACTGAATCTGGTCAGTGGAGTCAGGACGCTCTGGGGCCGACCCTGCGCCGCGCCCCCCCCCCCGCCCCCGCCCCCGCCCCGCCCTGCAGGCGTGACCCCTCTAGACCCTCCAGAGCGGCTCCGCCCGCCCCGCCTGCGCCCCTCTCGCCCTCCCCCGCGTCATTCTACAGGCACAGTGAGTCTAAGAGCGGCGCGACCAGGATTCAAGGGCTGCGGGAGGGGACAGAGCCTGCGGGAGCAGCCGCCTCTGGAAGCCCTGCCCCGCGTACACTGCATGCGCGGATAAACGGAGAGGGGCAGGTTGGACCCATCCCAGGCAACCCGAGCCTGCAGGGCGCCGAGGCTGCCCGCTCCCGGCTGCCTGCCAACGTCTGCGTGCGCCCCTCACTCCCTCCGTCTCGGACCCGCTCAGGCCCCCGGCCCGGCCCCTGTCCCAGCCCCCCGGCCCACTCACGCCGGCGGCTGCGGCGGAGGCGGCGGCGGCGGCGCCTCAGGCCCGGGCCCCGGGCTGCCGTGCTCAGGGCTTTGCGTCCTGCCGGCCGGGCGCTCGCTGCGCGGCTGCATGGGCTCGGCCACCGTGCCCGCCGCCGATCCGCAGAGGACGCCCAGACTCAAGGGTGCACGGACCGCTGGAGGGCTGCTCGGCGGCGGTGGCCCGCTCAGCGTCTCAGGCTCCCGCCGCTTGCCCGCAGCCGCTGTTTCTCGGCGCCGCCCGCCCCGTCTCTCGCGGACCGCCCCCCCCCCCGCCCCCCGCGCGCCCCGGCTTCAGGCACGCAACGAAGGACGCGAATCCTATCCACGTCCCGGCGCCAGGCCCGCCTCCTCCTCCAGAAAGGCCCCGAGCACCCCCCTGCCGCTTCTGCCCAAGAAGCTTCCCGGACCTACTGTCCCCGCTAACTCATTCAAGAAGCCCCCCTACCCCACCCCTCCCTACAAGCTCCAGGCCTTGAGCTGGGCTCTGGCTGCGGGGGACGACGCACGGCCTGATGGGCCTGACCAGAGCCTCGCGCCCGGGGGGCTGTAGGGTCCCCAGCAGTGTCGTCTGGCCATCCGCGCCACCCCGCTGACCCTCACCTGTGGGCGGGTGTGGGCGGGAGGGAGAGCACAGACTGGCTTCTGCTCCTTCGTTCCCCAAGGCAACCTTCCAGCCTCTGGGCCTTTGCACCTGCGGGCTGTTCCCCCAGGCAGCACAGGAACGTTGGCTGTCCCTGCCGGGCAGGTGTTGCGGACTTGGGCAAAGGCCTTCATGGGCGAATTCCCACCAGAGGGAGAGTCGCTGGACTGAAGTATCAGGAATAGTACTTTCAGGTGGATCTGGCCAAGCGGCTTCAATACCAGTGGCCCCTGCCCGCCCCGTTCCCCACCCGGAACCGCGGGGCTGCCCGGTGAAATGGAAACGCTCTCAGGGCTCGCGCCCTCCTTTGGTCGGGGGAGGCCGGCCTGGCCAGCAGAGTGTCCCTTTGTCTTTTGGCGGACCTGCCCATCTATAGCATCACCATTTCTATTTTGGCTTGTTTTCCCTACCAGAGTACTGGGGTTTTTTGTTTTGTCACTGACTTGTAAGAGCCCTCTGTATCGAAGGGCAGTGTTCATGCATTTTGACCGTTGTCGACGCATGGACATCCTGACAGGCACGCGTTTACGGAGCCCTAGGGAGGCTATGGCCAGGCTGGGCGAGGGCGCCCCGGCCCCCAGTGGGCCTCAGGCCCCGTCTTCTCCCAGGCCGGTAGTGTTATCACCGTCGCTGACTGAGAAAGACACAGGCCGTGAGCGGCAGGTCCAGCCGGCGCTCGAGCGGATGCGTGCGGCAGCCGTGGCCGCACCAGGCCTGCGCCAGGCGCCTGCATCCCGCCCGCCAACTTGGAGCCCGGGCGCGACCGCGGCCCGGAGGCTGTGAACGCGCCCTCCCGCTCGCAGGCCGCCGGACCGCGGCTGGAGAACCGTAGAGCCGGCGCGGCGGGGCGGGGCCAGGGGCGGGGCCGGCTGCGGGCTGTGCGCCTGGCGCACGGCATCCTGGGGCCGGAAGTGGGGCTCACGCGGCGGCTTGGCGGCTATGGCGGCGGTGCGGGGCCGCAAGCGGTGCGTGGAGGGTCTGGGCACCGGATCGGCCTCCCCGCGCCGCAGGGGGCCTACCTGTGCTTCTGGGCAGCGGGGATGGGGCACCCGGGGCTGGCGGGGAGTGGTGACTCCGGTGTCCTGACCCGCAGGCGCCTGGCAGAGCTGACGGTGGATGAGTTCCTGGCCTCGGGCTTTGATTCTGAGTCTGAGTCGGAGCCCGAAGGAGCCGCAGAAGCTGAGGGGCGGGCGGCGCGCGGAGCCTCCCGGACCCCGGGTGGGCCGGGCGGGAGCCCCTCGGCCAGGTGAGCGGCGCGTGTCCCGCGCGTGTGTGGAAGCACCCCTCTCCCCGCGTCGCCCGGCCCCGCTCGGCGCAGGGGTGCTGAGCCCGGCCGCGGACCCTCGGGCCGACTCGTCCTTTCATCTTACGCTTCCTGAGCGGCCGCTCTGGGCCAAGCCTGGTTTTAGGAGGTGGGCGTAGGCGGGGATCGCACAAAGGTCCCTTTCCGGTCTGAGGAGCTCGCGGAGCCTCGGGGGAGTCAGGAGGTGCAGCGTGTTGTGGACAGAAGGGAAAAGCGGCTTTGCTGGGGCGGCTGGGGCTGCGCCGAGAGAGAAGGTCGAGCAGCCGTGCAGGGGACAGGGCGGAGTGTTCCGGGGGCTGAGCGGGGGGGGAGCAGGCCGGAGGCAGCGGGGAGTGTGGCTCTGGCAGGAGGGGCATGGCGGCGCGCGGACCTGGGAGGTGATGGTGGGGCCGTTCGTGCGGCGTCCCAGGAAGGCCCTGGCCCGTGTGGCTCGGCCGAAGTGCCGGCAGGTAACCAGGAGGCCTCGGTTGGATTCCCGGTCAGGGCCCGTGTGCAGGTTGCGGGTTCAGTGCCCCGTGTGGGTGGGTACGGGGGGGCAACCCGTCGGTGCCTCTCTGTAGCATATGTGGTTCTCTCTCTATCTCTTTCTCCAACAATGAAAAAACGTGCTTGGGTGAGGATGTAACGGAAAGCGTGTCCCAGGGAAATGGGACGTGGCCTCAGGGTTTGGAGCAGCCGGGGGAGAGGCGGCCACAGGTGACCGTGGGGGTCGCCTGGGCCGCTGTAGGCGGCGGTGGGGATGGGGCGCGGCCCCCGCCCTGAGAGACGGTGCTGCTTTGAGAGGAGGCCTTTCGCAGAGGCCGCGGTGAGAGCGCACGAGCTTGCCTGCTGGGGAGGAGAGACCGACGTGCCCGGGAAGGTAGTTTCCAGCCTCCGAGGTCGAGCGCGTTGGGGGAACGCACGGTCGGTGTCGTTCCGTTGGCGCTGACACGCGCATGGAGAGGCTGTGGGTGTCGGCCTGTGTGTAGAGAGACAGGGACCTGCCGCCTGCGCCCGGGGTCGGGGCGGGTGTGAGGGGAGCGGGCCTCGCCTTCCCAGAGGAGGCAGCAGGCCCTGGCCTGGAGGACAGGAAGCCCCCGCCCCTGCAGCTGATGCCTGACGCCCCCCTTCCCAGCCGGCGTAAAGGCCAGGCAGCGGAGCACAAGGACCAGCTTTCTCGGCTGAAGGACAAAGACCCCGAGTTCTACAAGTTCCTGCAGGAGAACGACCAGAGCCTGCTGACCTTCAGCGATTCCGACAGCTCAGAGGATGAAGGGCCGCGGCTCCACTCCCTGCCGTCTGTGCTTGAAGTGAGGGCCTGAGCGGGCGCGCGGGGCGGGGGCGGGGGCGCGGGCGGCCCGCCCTCCGGCTCCAGCCTGGCCCCTGTGACTGGTGCAGGAAGCGAGTGAGGAGGACGAGGAGGACGAGGACGCGGGCTCCAGAGGACCGACGGCGCAGAAGAGGGACTCCACCCCTGTGACCCTCGCCATGGTCGAGAGGTGGAAGCAGGCAGCGAAAGTGAGGACTGGCACGGCACGAGCAGCTGCCCGGGGACCACGCGGGTGGGAGGGCCCCCGAGCAGCCGCGCCGGGGCCCTGCGGGCACAGAGGGCCTCGCTTGGCTCCCCCTCGCGCCAGGAGGCTCCTGGCCGCGCTCGCCCCTCCTCGCGGAGGCAGCAGGGCTTCTTGCGCCTTTGCCGGCAGCCTCCCTCTCCAGCGTCTTGCTCCTCGAAGTGCCTCGCAGGCAGGATGTGCCTCTGCTGGCTGGTCAGGCGGGGGGCCGCCTCTCAGGGCCTTGCCGCGGTTTCTGCGGCAAGAGGAAGGGGCAGGGGACTGTGGACACTGTGCGGTGCTGGCCGCTGCCCACACCCTGGACCCTCAGCCCCTCCCCAGTGGCCCCTGAGCAGGGCTCCCCGCCCGCCCAGGAGGATTCTGGACTCGGTCTCTTCATCCCCAGCAGCGGGGAGGGGTGCCTTGTCCCCTAGGGCAGCTCTGGGCGCCCCCGCTGCCGCCCCCTCTGTCGAGCACCCTGGCGGCTCCCACAGCGTCCTGGGCTCTGTCGCCCCTTCAGCAGCACCTCACCCCAAAGCTGTTCCGTGAAGTTGTGCAGGCGTTCCGGGCCGCTGTGGCCACCACCCAGGGAGACGAGGAGGGCGCTGAGCCCAGCAAGTTCCAGGTCACAGACAGTGCTGGTGAGTGGGGGCCGGGGGTCTGGGGGTGGGCACCGGGTCCCCTCTTCGGCCCTGCAAGTGGCATCTGTGGTCCCTCGCTGCAGTGTTCAACGCCCTGGTCACTTTCTGCGTCCGAGACCTCGGTGGCTGCCTCCAGAAGATGCTCCTTGGAAGAGCCCCAAAGGACAGCAGCAGGTGAGACGGGGCGGGGCGGGGGGCGCTCAGGGCCCTGCGGTGGGGGAGGCGGGGCCTCGGGACCCAGCTGGCACAGAGGTGTGTTGGGGACAGCCCAGGCTCTTCGTGGGGCTCCTGGGTGAGGCTGGGCGCTCGGGGCCAGCTGGGGCGGCCTGGGCTTTTCACTCCTGTTGTTCTGGGAGGGGAAAGTCTGCGCCCAGAATTCCTCAGGGACCGCAGACGGCGTGCTTGGCGTTGGCCCCCCATTTTCCCGTGTCAGGTTTCTCTCTCTTGGGTGGGTAAGTCTTGTCCAGTCTCCCTGGCCCTGGCTCTGCAGCTGCGGGGCGTGTCTCCAGGCAGGGGTCTGGCTGTGGGTGAGAACCTTACCTTGCCCGTAAGAGGTACGCTGAGCAGAGACGCTGTGGGGCGTCATCAGAGGGGAGGAGAACAGGGTTCCACCGGGGCTGGGAGGGCCACTTGGTCGCACGGCCTGGAGGCGGTTAGGGCCTTGGAGGGTCAAACTCACTCCAGGTGCCTCTCAAAGGAAAAAAGGAAACGTCCAGAGAAGGGCCCTGCGGTCCCCCCCAGAGGGTAGGTGGGGCTCCCCGGTCCTGGAGGTTTTGGTCGGGCGGCACGGAGGGCCGGGAGCGTGGGCCACGCGGAGGTGGCCCTGCCGGACTTGGGCAGGGTGGGCGGCAGGCACAGGGTGGGCGGCGCCGTCCTGGGAAGGGGGCCGCTGTGCTGCCGACACCGACGCCGTGCGGGGGGCAGCGCGCCCCCTCCGGGTCGGGGGAGCCGGCCGCAGGTGCCCCTGCCCTTTGTGCGTTTCCTCAGGTCTCCCCGAGCGCCTGCTGTGT